AAATGGTGAGGACTGCGAGGACAATCCTTCACCACCCATTTCGTCAAGGGCACAAACGTTAAACCCAAATACGTGGTTATGGTGCGTTCGCATGCGACCCACATCTTTGATAATTAATACGGACTCGAGGATTTAATCACCTGCAGCGAACGTCCATGAAACGTCATTTAAGTGAGTTTTATTATTTATTTTAGTTTGTGTTTTATTTTATATTTTATTTTTCGTTAAAAATTCAAAAAGAATTTAATAGATATATGCTCGGTTTTAAAGCTTTTAATTTTTTTTTTCGTTTTTTATTTTTTTCGTTTTTTTAATTATTTATTTCTTGTTTTTTTTAAATATTATTACTACATACCTGAATGTACTAATGTTTTTCTTTATTTTTTTATTTTTATTTTTATTTTATTTTTATAATTTTTTTTTATTTTTTAAACTAAATATCAGTTTGAGTTTTTAATGTATAACAATACTAAAGATCATAATATTTTTTGTCCATACTTTTTTTGAATCATATTATTTTTGGATCATAAAATTTTAAATAAAATTATTTTGAATCGTAGTATTTTGAATAAAATCATTTTTGAATCATATGATTTTGGATCAATAATATATTCAATTAAATATAGTTTTTTGTTCAAAAAAAAAATTATGGATCATTATATATTTTGAATCATTTAATTTTAAATCATAAAATATAATTAAGGATTATAAAATATTTGAGTATAAATATTTTTAGAACATAACAAACTAAGGATCATAATCAAGTTGCATAATTTTTTTTTTGAATCATAAATATTTTGAATCATCACATTTTGGATCATATTATGTTTACTATATTTTTAAAAAATTAATATTTCTTAAAATTACAAATAAATACTTCAAAATCTTATTTTTGAAAAATTCATTTTACAAAGTCACTGGTATATTGAATAGAAATATCCCTTAAACTTTTATGATTTTTGGAGAATATTTTTTCTAGGTTTTTTCAAAAAGACACCTTTTTAATGTATATTTATATTTTCTTTTTAATTTATACAAAGTTTTAAAAAACATCTACATTTGCACATGCACAACAAAAAATTCAATTTTTTTTATATTTCTCGTGGATATACATATACACATGCACATGCACATGTGAAATTTGATACTTAAATTATTGTGAATAAAAAGTTTGTTGGTTCACAGCCTCAAATATGGTTTACCTTTATAT